CCCCAGTGAGGGGCTGGGGGTGTGGCTCAGTGGTAGAGCCCCTGCCTAGAATCCCCCAGTGAGGGCCTGAGGGCATGGCTCAGTATTTGCTTGACCTGGGCAAGGTCATGGGTTCCATTTCCATTAGCAAAGAAAGGAAGCTGAAAGCCAACGCTAACTAGCATCAGTGTCCCAGAACCTCAGTTTCTTTCCCAAGGTAACAGCACTGCCATAGCTACCACTGATGAGCGTGTGCTGCTGGAGCTCCTGTCCCTCCCGACTGATCTTCACAATGCAGAAAAGGGGGCTCGCTTTCTCTCTTTCTCTCTTTCTTTCTTTCTTTCTTTTTGTTTTTGTTTTTCAAGACAGGGTTTCTTGTGTAGCCCTGCTGGCTGTCCTGGAACTTGCTCTGTAGACCAGGCGGAGATCCGCCTGCCTCTGTCTCCTGAGTGCTCAAATTAAAGACGTGCACCACCACTGCCTGGCAGGGGGGCTCTATTTCAAGCCCTGTTTTCCCAATTCCCTGATAATGAATCTGTGCCAGATACTGATCTCAGAGCCTCTCATCCCAAGTCCCAGTGTGTAGGTGAGGAAATTGGCCATAGTCAAAACTGCCAAAGCCAGGACCCTCTGACCTTTTGGCCTGCCTCCACATCCCGGCCATCTGGGTAAATGTCCAGCACTGGTGAAGGGTTATGGACTATGCTGTGAGAGGCTTGCCATGGCAAGAAGCTATATTGTTTTTTTTTTTTCTATCTGTTTGCTGATTTCTCATCTCACTAGGTTGCCCAGAGGTTCTGAGCTTTAGGACTCAGGTGACGTTCTTGTCTCAGCCTCTCTGGTTCTGGAATTAGAGACATGTTCTACGGTGGATGGCCAGTTATTTGGCCAGAATTATTGATTGATTGATTGATTGATTGATTTACTTATCTTTCAATTTTATTTCATATATACAGGTGTTTTTGCCTGCCTGCATGTGAATGCACCATTTGTGTGTCTGGTGGCCACAGAGGCCAGAAGAGGGCATCTGAATCCCGGAAAGGGAATTACAGACAGTTGGGAGTTGGTGTGGGTGTTGGATATGAAACCCGGGTCCTCTGGAAAAGCAGCCAGTATTCTTAAGCACAGAATCATCTCTCCAGTCTCTGGATTTATACTTATTTATAATTTAGGTGCGTGCGTGCGTGCGTGCGTGCGTGTGTGTGTGTGTGTGTGTGTGTGTGTGTGTGTGTGTGTACTCGTGTGAGTGTCTGCACAGAATCCAGAGGAGGGCATTAGGATTGAATAACCCCTCTGTCACTCACCACCTTTGTCCTTTGAGGCAAGGAGTCTCCCTGAACCTGGAATTCACTATTTGCCTTGGTTTTTCCTGTAGCGTGGCAGCCTCCACTTCCTGAGTGCCACGAGATAGATATGAGGCACTGTAGCCATTTCAACTGTCTTTAAATTATTAATGGCTGGGCATGGCAGAGCACACCTGTAATTTCTGCACTAGGGACGCTGTGGAAGGAGGTTTTCCAGTCCATCCAGGGCTATATTAAAAGCGCCTCTGCTTCGAAGAAACAAAATAAGCCGAGCGTTTCTCTTGTGTCTTCCGTTCTGCCTTGTAGTATGTTGTCCGGTATGTGCAGCCCTTGAGTGTCAGGGAAGTTTCTACTGGGACACCCTCACACATCCTGGAACCAGGATGGGATTGTGGGATGCTGGCAGCCATTTGGGGTCCCAGTGACAATGGAGTGATGGAACCAAGAGTTGGAAGTGTCCGGGTCTTTGGTGGTGATGTGGAGTGGACACACTTTCCAATTCTGGACTTTTTTTTTTTTATGTTGGTGATGTCTGAACCACCCTTTGGATTTTATCTAGTGTCTCCCAGAATGACAAACACAACACATTCAATCTTCACCTCAAATATTTTCTTCCCTACATTTTTGTAAGTGCAGTCGGTTGCTCAGGCCAAAAGACGACAAGCCACCCAAGTGTTTGACCTCTTCCTCAGCCCTAACACCCATCCCTTCAGCAATGTCTGCATATTTTACCTCTTACACATGTCGGAATCCATGTGGCTTTGTCTGTCTCCCAGAATCCTGGCCTCATCTCTCATCTGGATCTCTCCAGAACCTATTTGTGGGTCTCAACTTCCAAGCTTGCCTCTCATGTCCAGGCTGACCTGTAACACACGACTGTCTTGACTTTGCCTCCTGAATGCTAAGGTAACAGACTTGCCACCATGCCCAGATTATATGGATTTTTCTTTTTCATTCCTTTTCTTTCTTTTTTCTCCTCCTCCTCTTCTACTTTATTTTTCAAGACAGGGTTTCTCTGTGCAGCCCTGGCTGTCCTAGAAATCACTCTGTAGACCAGGCTGGCATCAAACTCACAGAGATCCACCTGCCTCTGCCTCCCATGTGCTCAGATTAAAGGTGTGCGTCACCACCACTCGGCTGCTTCTTTTTTTAGGTACAGTCTTACTGTGTAGCCCTGGCTGACCTGGAACTTGATATGTAGATGGATTAAAAGTTTGTACCACTGTGCCTGACTAGGGGGACTCTTTTACATTTAAGATTTATTTTGTTTTTTCCTTATGTGCATGATGTGTCTGTGTGTGGGTGTGTGCACATGCTGCAGGTGCCCTAGGAGACCAGAGGGTTTGGATCCCTGGAAGCTGGAGTTGCAAGTGATTTTGAGCCACCCCACTTGGGGGCTGGGAATCAGAACTCAGGTCCTCAGCAGGGATAGTATGTGCTCTTAACCACTGGGCCATTGTTTTGCTGTTCTTTTGTTGTTGTTGTTTTTTTGTTTTTTTGAGACAGGGTTTCCCTGTGTAGTTTTGGAGCCTGTTCTGGAACTCACTGTGTAGACCAGACTGGCCTCGAACTCACAGAGATCCGCCTGGCTCTGCCTCCCAATTGCTGGGATGAAAGGCCAGAAGGGGCGTCAGATCTCCTGGAACTGGAACCAACCACTGCAGATGGTTGTTAGCTGCCCTGTGGGTGCTGGGAATCAAGCCTTGGTCCTGCAAGGGTAACATTGCTCTTCACTTCTGAACCATCTCTCCAGCCACCCTCTCACCCCATAGATGCACTTTTCAAAATGGGACTCAGGGAACTAGAGATGCTGCCGTGGATAAAATGCTTGCTGTTTATCAAGTGCGAGGCCTGATTTCCAGCAGACAAATAAAGCAGGCACGCACCTGTAAGCCAGGGGCTTGGGGTGGGGTGGGGGGTGCAGACAGGAGGATCCCCAGAGTTTACTAGTCAGCTGCTCTAGCCAAATTGGTATGCTCCAGGTTCCTTGAGAGACCCTGTGTCAAAAAGGGGGGGTGGGGGTTGGGGAAGAGGGGCAAGCGATAGAGCTCAGTGAGTAAAGGTGCTTGCCGCGAAGACCGACAACCTGAGTTCGATCACTGGGACCCATGTGATGGAGGGAGAGAACCAGTCTCTGCAAGTTGTCCTCAGACCTCCACGAGTGTCATGACACCTGCCATCAACTCCCCCACACGCACTCAAATAAATAAATACACGTAATTTTAACATGCAGGGGCTGGCGAGATGGCTCAGAGGTGGAGTGCACTGGCTGCTCTTTCAGTGGACCCGGGTTCGAGTCCCAGCATCAACACGGTGGCTCACAGCCATCTGTAAACTCCGGCTCCAGGGAACCTTTTTCTCTGGACTATGAGAACACCAGGTACGTACGGGTACACAGATATACATGTGGCCAAAACACCCACACTCATAAAATAAAAATGTAGCCAATTAAAAAGAGAGAGAGAGTCAGGTATGGTGGCATGTGTCTTCAATCCCCGCACTCAGGAGGAATAGGCAAGTGGATCTCCAGGAGCTTGAGGTCAGCCTGCGCTACACAGTGAGTGCTAAGCTAAGCAAAGGTGACAGTGATACTCTGCCTCAAATGAAATAAGTATATAAGCAAAAGCACAAACCAAGGTGGAGAGCGGCTGAGGAAGTCACGTGACCTGGACCTCTGGCCTCCACACGTGTGCACATGCATGCAAATGTTCACACACTAACATGTACACACTCAGACACACAAAGAACCTGCTTACGGTATTATCCCCCATGCCTGCCTCTCACACCCAGGCTGTTCTTGAACAC